GGTCCAAAGCACGCCAATGACAGCGACTAAACCACTGCGCCACCACCACACAATACGTAGAAACCAATTCAATAGTCGCAAAAATACAATTGGTAGGTGGTCGTGCAGATACAATCGTGCGCATTGGGAAAACGTGGTATATACTAGCTCCATACAGTCTGGCGCAAAAGCGAGTATCTGAGGTTATTGCTGTTGAATCGGATTGATTTAGAACACACGTATAGGTGAGCAAGATTAAGTCACAAGGGGAACATGTAATCCAGGTGTAGTGAGCAACCACAGATTGAAATAATCTCTAGAAACTTGTTATGTGCGACCGAGCACACATCCAGTCAGGAACTAGGTGTTTTCAAGGAAGAGCAACTATCCACTTTGGTGGTGCATGTTGTCGAAGAAATTGATTCTTTATTAGCTCGCTTTGTAACTGGTGTCTCTCCAGTAATATTGTTCCGTTTTATTATTATTATTTTTAACTTGACATTCTGGTACAGGCTACAACAACATCAACGACAGCCCCCGAAAAACCATACTTGTGCGTTCAACCCACACGAAGTGTTTTTGGTGTACCGGATCGGCATAGTTCAGCGCTTTACAACAATTTTTCACCGTCTGTCGAGGATCGGCACTCGAGCACTCGTGCGAAAACAGATCGAGTGGAACCGGCATTGTCGGGTTCTCTGGAGCCACTAGTGTCCGTTCCCGGACCGTCTTTTTTGCATACGTTTCTGGCTAAAAAGTTCGAATCCCAAGCAAGTTCAAACCGAGTGTAATGTTCGGTTCTGTTTTCTGTGTTGTTTTTCTTGATATTCTATGGCGAATAAGTCCTGACTCGTCTTTTGTGTCTGAGCTAGTTTCAAGTGACAGTAGATTCATGTTATGTATATGTATATATATGTATATATATATATATATATATATGTATAGTGTGTGTCGAACAAATCACGGTTCAGTAATCTTTATCAGAGGAAAAAGTCCTTGATTTGCTCAAGGGCATGATATTGCTAGGTTGTTTAGGCCAAACAGATGAATTTTCATAGAGAATTCAAAACCGGAGCCTTCGGTTAGCCAAAGTCTGATCCGCAAGACAGTGGAGCGGTGTGCGAAATCCGCAATCCATTGGAGGCCGGTGTCCAGTTATTCGGATCATACGCCCTTTGAACGGAGTCAATCGTCTAGGGTGCCCAATGGAGTTGATGACCACTGTCACAAATCAGGCAGATGTGGTTGAGTGTGGTTTGTTCATCTCTTTATGGTTGGTTTAGAATCAGTCAACTCCCCTAGGTGAACTGCCAATGATTCACCAAACCGATTTGGTGGGAAAACACCGCCAAGAAAATGCAAAGTAGGGCTTCCTGAGCAGAATTTATTTGAGACACTTGGTCGCATAGGAGCATTTCGCGAGGTGCAAGGGAAGGGTGACCAGGCCCAACCCGAGCCACCTACCCCCGACCATATCGAGGTTTTCAGAGGCATCGACTCATCCTAGCTCTGCTAGAATAGACTGTTCGACCCATAAGACGGTTTGTTTAACCTGCCGTGTAATTACCCCACATTTGGGTCTAATGTATCTTTTGTGTAAGTTAAAAACGATTGAAGGTTAGAATTCCTATCGTTTTAATCAGTGACGTTTGTTCGCCTCAGTTTTTCTTTTCTATCTCAAATGCACATCAAGTTACTTCGTTACCGAAACTACTTCCATCCGGTTGGTTAATTTATCCTTTTTTCTCTGTATGTGAATTTGAATGCCTTCACAAAATTGTTTCTGAATTCTGTCCCTACTGAATCGTAACGACATCGGTGGATCGTAAATGATCGTCCTTGCTTTTAAATAGTCGCGGTATAAATTACTGTAGTTACGTCAATATAATCCCTCGCTTCCTCCCCATAATCCTTTACCGAATTCGGAGTCGTTCTTCGACTGTTTGTTGTTTCAGTTGGTGATCCTACCATTGCTAGGGATTGGGAACATTGGTGCACTTCTGTGCTGTTTGTTTACTGAACTGTGATGTCTTTTTAGCGTCTATGGCGTTTTTGCCATCGACCATAAACCTCAGGGGTGAAGTTTTGGTTCTCAGCCTGATTAGTTGCTGTTGGTTTACCGTCAGGAAAACAGCAAGGACGAACCACTGGTCCAGTACTCTTTGTTGGACATAGATAAAATTATATCGCGATCAAGCTGCATTACCATCTGGGGGAATCAACTGACTTCCGGCGATTGAGACCAAGGTATCTGTGAATGCGTATGGACTGCACAAGAGATATTTAGTTGATTCATGTGCGGTGTGCGAGAGAGAGGACTGAAAACCCAACCGTGAGATTTGGAGTGATATATCACATACGGCCTCAATAGGTTCGGCGTGGTATTGAGTCAGTCAACAACAGCGCTGCCTCCTACTTTGCAATAGCTTTCCCATCGTCAGGCTATTGCCTCGTTATCTCTTTTCTATCGTTACTAATCTGGTTTCTGCTCTTCTGAGCTCGCCTCAACAGCTCTCCTCCCCTTGTCCTTTTCTGGTCCATCTCCGTCTCAGATGGACAGTCATCCTTATCATCCTTATCCTTCGCTGATGTCGGATTTGTATCTTAGTCCCCTCCTCTACCCCAGAACTCCAAAATTGCGCAACACCCTTTCCATATTCCTGTTTCCAAATACTTATTATCTTACTCTTTTCAAAAGTAGGATTGAAAAATTCGTTTTCGCCTGAAGGCCCCCCCTTACAGTATGTCATTAACTGTGGGATAAATCAATTTGGTAAATAAAAAAAACAGCTAATTCAACATAACAGTATTTCTGTTTGACATTGTGCATAACTGACCGATATGGATCTCGCATATAGCAACGTTCTTGAAGCATTCCTCAAATAATACACAGTCCTATTACTGACGAGTAATCGAATAGATGCAGGATTTTTAACCCTTAGTTTCTAACAACATTGATCTGAATTCGCTGTTTACATTTATAATTGTCACCTTGCTACTTCATTCGAATTTCACAGTCATTACTGCGTCTGTTTGTCTATCTGAATTACGATGCAGGTTGGAAAGAGTTCAAATCGGACCGGCGGTGCTGATCCCCTTAGTCAGAATCGTGCTACCACAGGTGCTGGTTTGACCGATGGTGAATCCACCATATGCCCACCACAGTCTTCCGTTGCGGATGTAAGCCATGTTGAAATCACGAACTCAGGCGATCAACCATCGACGCGTGTTGTGGACGAACTAGATGATGCAGAGGAAGAAGATCCGGACGAAGCATCTGAGGAATCCGAATGGTAAGAGCACATCGACGTTGAAATCGGCTGGTGGCAT